GTGTTCATGTAATATAATATCCTTCCATTGTATTATGATTACCAAAGTTAGCCATGAATTAAAATTTAAAAAGTTTTCAAACTTAATTTTATGAATCCCGCTCTAATACCACTTTAAAGTGCTCTGATGGCACTTGAAAGTTTAACAGGGATGTTAAGACCTTATAAACTAGTCCCAAGGCTAACCAAGAGGGCAGGGTGAATTGGTATTTTAAAAAAAATTTCAATCAAAACACAATCTTAAAAAAAAACCAAGATTCACCATAGAAATCAAAGTGTGGAAATTAAATGCGAAAGCAGTAATAAAGAACATAGAAATTTATAGTGGTTCGGTCAACACGTCCTATGTCCACTCCGTGAAGGCACCCTCCGAGTATTGCACTAAACTCAGTGTCTCTCCTTTTTCCCCCACAGTAAAGAGGAGAAGCCTTTACAAACCTCCTTTCCATCAACCTAGAAGAGGCAGAAAACCCAACTCCTTTTACTTCCTCCAGAAGAGGGCAGAGAACACAACTCCTTTTTTCTCCCTCCAAATGTAGACATAGAACCTAACTCTATTTTATTTCTCTTGAAGTAGGCAGAGAACCTTAATTAGATGCTGAAGTAGACCTTTCTAGAACCCCTAAGGAACTAAGGATGACAACTAGAGAAGACGACAATGGATCCTTACTTGGAGTAAACTTTGTGAAACCCCTCACAAACTCCCCCTCATAAGACCTCTCTCTCTCTCTCTCTCTCTCTCTCTCTCTCTCTCTCTCTCCCCCCCCCTTTATCTCCCTCTCCTCTTAGCTCTCTCAGGTTAGAATAATAGCAAAAGATACTCTCTTAAAAGGAACAAGAGGCCTTAAATAGAAGATCTTCAAAATATATCTTAATCGCAAAAAACTGACTTTATCATTCAGGATGATATAAATATCATCATGTACTATCAGTGCAAATTAAGCTAAATTAGCCAGAATAATTTGGGATGATCATAAGGTTTTTATTCTTATCATCCAGGATGATAGGATATCGTCCTATACAATTAATACAAATAATTAAATATCATCTAAACAATCGCACTGAATGGATGTTTGGTTGATGGAAAAATAGCTTGATCGTCCAGGCCAATCTCATGATCGTCATAGACAATTAGTTAAAATCCGTGCAAATCATCCAGAGCATCACCCTTATAATTAATACAAATCATTAAATATCATCCAGACTATCGCACTGAATAGATGTTTGGTTGATGGAAAAATAGCTTGATCATCCAGGCCAATCTTATGATCTTCATAGGTAATTAGTTCAAATCAGTGCAAATCGTCCAGAGCATCACCCTGAATAGAAGCTAACTGATGTTGATTGTCTAGGAACAACTAAGGATTTTGAATTGATCGTCCAGGTAGATCCTGTGATCTTCCAAGATGATATGATTGATCAATCAAACCTTAATTGCTTTCCTTAATTTCTAGATTAATTTAGGAATAGTTATGTTCGACGATGTCCTGGATGATGTCTAAAATAAACAATACCTAAATAGATATGGCGGCTGATTTTTTTTATTTGAGCCTATCATCTTGGCCGATATAATGATGGTCCAGGATGATGAACTTAATGATGTTTGCCTTAACCAGGATATCCTAATTAGGGTTTTTATTTTTAACTGATCATCCAGGCCAATTTGTGGGTCCTCCCGGATGATGTGACCAAAAATAGAGAACTCTAAAGCAGTAAAAAAAATGACCCCAAGTGTGTGTGTGCAAGATTATTTAGCATTAGGAACCACATTATTTACAATAGACTCAAGAAACAGAAAAGTTTACAAATTGATCCAGACCTAATATATCCAATCTTGAGCTGGTTCAAATTGCAGTTTGATCCTATGGACCAAAAATGTTAGTAGGCAAGGAAGTCGTGGAGAAATAGAAGTGTTTGTTATTATCAAAATTATATTCCCTAAAAACATATTCTCAACACCCTTATCATAGAGTTGGGTATACTAAATAAATTTTTTAAATAATCTAAAAAAAGTATATTTTTAATAATAAAACTATTTTATATGTAAATCATATGTAAGCCCACCACTTTCTTAGTGTTGTTGTCACCTAGTGTTACATTTCCATTGCTCTTGGCTTCCAACATTAAGAATTGCTTCATTTTTCCCATCATATGCTTTAAACAGTCTCTATCTAAGTACCACATACTCTCTCTAAGCCTTTTGTGAAAGAAAACTTATAATGTTAATTAAAGATTAGTTTTGGGAACCCAATTGAGTTTGGGTTCCACCTTATACTTTATTGAATGAATGGAATGAATGATATGATGATTTGAAGTATAGGTCATTGAAACTTAAAGTATTATATGGTAAATTTTCATGTGTGGTCTATGTATACTAGCATGCCACAAGAATATCACCTAACCCCAAGAAATGGGTGCATTAACCAATGAGGGGGATATTGTATCTTTCTAGTTACATATGATGCATGCCATGTTCTTTGATATGGCTTCTATGTTATTGTAGGCCCTCTTGTACAATTTTGAGTGCATTTATTTTCTTTTTAAAAAATTCATTTGCATTTTTATAACATTTAAAATCAAATTTCAATGTATGTTAACTATTATCAAGCTCTATTGTAAGTGTTTCGAATTCCTAGAATGCATTTTCTAAGTATGCTCTAATTTTAAGGATTCATTTGACTTTGTTAGCTCAATATGATTTTAATTAAGTTTTAAAACTCATTTAGTAGGGATGCATGTACCTTACCTAAGCAAATATGTTAGCTTAGAGACTATCATTCTCCTTAACTAAAATGTTGTTGACCTCATTTTTCTATGAGGTCACTAAGGCCCTTCCAAACTCCAGATTAATTCTAGATCCTAGGATCCACTCTAGACCTTAGGATCCTTTCCTAGAGCCAGACCTTAGGGCCTACTCTAGAGCCTAGGATTCCCTTAGATCCTAAATCTTAGAACCCCTCTAGATCTTAGGACCACTCCAACCTCAAATCAATTCCTACCTTTGATCAACTCCAACTTCAATTTAATTCCTACCCTTGATCAATTTAAATCTCAAACTTCATTCAA